CAGGCTGCACCGGCTGCCCGGGCTGAGTCAGAGCTGGATCAGCCCCATCTCCACACCCGTGACTCACCGCCGGGTATTTCGGGTATTTCGGAGTCTTGTGTCACATGGCCTGTTTGGGGATTTATTTTTGTGGTTTGGTTATTTTCCTTTATTTTCGTTTATTCCCCCACCCTGAGAAGGGGCTGGTGCTTTGGGTTGTGAACACAAAGCTCCAGGGACTCTGAGATGTTCCCCCTTTGCTCCCCTTTGCCTTTGGGAAAGGGTGAGCAAGGTGGGATACCTGTAAAGGAAAGGGCTTGTGGGGTGTCACATATATCTCTGCAAAAATTATATATATACACCATTGTATGTATTACATAATACCATATCTATTACATAATATTATATAGCATTATATAATGTAATACTATATATATTAATAATTGAGGTGGTGTAGCATGGAGGGGAGCCCAAATTCCTCTGGTTTTCTTCATGTTCCTTCAGGTTCCTGGTGTTGCGTTACCAGCACGAGTTTAACGGGGCAATTGCTGTCACAGGCACACCCCGCTGGAACTCAGGGGAGGAATTGGCTTGGAAAAATCTGTGGCAAGGAATCTTCTTCCAAATCCCGTGAGGCTGGGAACCGAGGCAGCCCTGAGAAGGCAGTGGCCATTCTCACCTGCTCACCGAGGGTCTGAAAATAAAATACCCAAATGTGAGGCAACACAGACATCCCAACCTCCCAAAAAATCCAGCCCCCTTCCCAACACCGACCGTTTCTCTGAGAAGGCTTTGGTCAGGTTGCAGAGCCTGGTGCTGTTCTCAGGTTTGGGTTTTATCTGAGCATCTGCTGCTGCATTTGGCTCCAGCTGCAAATTCTCTTATTTTTTGGGTGAGGTGTCTCCCACTTGTTATTGTCATGCAACAGTTTGACACCTGGAGCAGTGTGTAAATGAAGATGTCTGATGTTTCCCTCCGAAGTGGGAACGGCTGTTTAGAATATCCTAGAAAATTTTAACTCCAGGCGAAATGAAAATGAGGAGCCTGGGGAGGCAGGCAGCTCCACTCCCAGGCTCCCCGAGGCAGCAGCAGCAGGGATCCAGGGATTTTCCTGCAGAATATTCCCGAGGTAAGGAATGCCACATCATGGGAGTGTCTTCCTGACCTCTCCATAAAATTCCTGGTGAGCCCAGGAAGGATGCTGCGTGTGGGGCAGCATTTCCTTGTCCTCTGGAGACGTTCAGCTTGGGGTAGGACACACAAAATTCCTGTCGGAGCTCGGCACAAGCCTGGGCAGCTCAGTGGCTTGGCCAGATTTGGGAAAGGTGTCCCTGTTCCCTGTGGGGATGCCCCTGGAGACACCAACAGAGCTCAGAGCTCCTCCCTGCCCTGCCCTTCCCCAGCTTTGCTGCCTCTGGGGATTTGCCCATTTTAGACTTTTGGGTGCCAGTGTGTGTCCAAATGTCCTGAAGAAATCTGCCGGGAGCACAGAGCCCCAGTGGCCTCTAGTGGCTGTGGGACAAAGATCCCAGGAAAGGGCCCCCAGCCCCCCGCAGCCCCCAAACAACAGCACTGGGGGTCCATCCCACCAGAAGCCACCCTTCCCATGGGTAGAGACAAAAGAGAGACAAAGATAAACCTCCCAAAAAAGCTCCAGGGCCGTGACTGATGGGGGAACATCCAGCAGGATGGTGTTGCATCCCAAATCCCCATTCCTTGGCAGGGATGGATGGAGAGATTTTGGGCAGCCATTGGTTTTTTCTCATTCCTGTGTTAAAAAGCAGGGAAAAACCCCCCACGTTTTTAAGGAAAGTAAAATTTCTTTCACATCTTTTTTGATTTTTCATTTTTCTAAAGCATATTTTCTGTCTAATGCCACAGTACAAAACAGGAACCCCAGCGGTGAAAACAGTTGAGCCAACGGATCAAAAAGGGTTTGATTCCGTTAAAATGACCGGGTTTGTGTCTTCTCCACCAAAGGTCACTAAAGCTGCTTCCTTCTGAGTAATTGGGATTTTTCAACAAGGGAAGAGGGAAGAACTGACCCATTTTATTCCCCAAACCCACAGCATTTGGGGGCAGGATGGAGCATCTCCTTCTGCAGCCCATGCTGTCCCTCCTCTCTCCCCCCTATGATAAATAAATTACTTTAGGAGTGCTGGCCTAGTTTAACATGCCCTAGTTTTGATGGAGGAGGGGAAAGAAAAAAAAAAAAGAGAGAGAGAGAGACTATTTATTTTGGGCAGTTGCTTCATGGGTGTCCTTTTGGGAAGAGCTTCGGGGGACTCACCCACTCCCCCCGCCCCGCTTTGCCCTGGCTGCAACACAGTGCCCTGAATTTTGGGTTCTTTTCCTGAGTTACTGCCTAGCTGATGTGGAAATGAGTGGTGGAGACACTGATCCAGCCCCAGAGTCGTTGTCCATCGCTCCGAGCCCCCCAGGACTGGTGTCAGGGGCTGATTCCCCAAAGCCTGTGGAACAGAGCAGTTTTCGGGGTGAATGAAGATAAACCCTGGTTCTGAGTGTAAGAGGTCAGCGTTGGCTTTGCTGTAGGAGCAACTGTGTTAGCACCTTTCCCCAACACCCAAATCCCTGGGAAAATGGGATTAAAGCTTGTGTTGGGCACGGGAGTGGGATTTCACAAGGGATTTCACAAGTGCTCTGGGTGTCGATGGGACCTTTGCACCTCACTCGTCCCTCCAACCCCGCTCTTCCAAAGGTGCCAAGTTTCCTCCGGCAAATAAACCTGCAAATGGCTCTTTTCTATACATTTTATTTTTTCCTCCTTTTTTCCCCACCCCTGCCAAAACCAGCAGCCCATATGGGCAGGGTTGGGTGGGGATTTTTGCAGTTTCCATGGGGATTTGGCTCTGGAGCTGCTGGGTGCTGGCTTCTGGGGTTTGGTTCGGGTTTTTTTTCCCTCTGATCGCTGTAACCGGAGCGTGGTGATGGCACCGGGCTCCCTTCCCGGCTCGGGCATCTCCCAGCCAAGGTCACCGGGGAGACCGTGGGCAGCCGCCGCCTGCGTTGGGCCATCTGTTAAATAATGTATGCAATAAACTCCTGCCCCGGGGCCAGCTTAATCCTTAAATCCTCCTTCAGAACACCATCTCCCGGCCCTGCGGGATGCCCAGCTCGGTCTCTTGGGCGCATCTTTCCCCCCATTCCCGGTGAATCCCTCTCTCCTCGCCCCTCCATCCCGCATCCTCCCGTACGCGATCCCGCCGGGCTCTCCTGCTCCATTATTGATGCGCCGTGCATGAAAGATGCATATAAAGAGCGGTTCATAATTTAGCAGAATCTCCTCTTCTTTCAGCCTCCCTTCCCCCTCTGGCTTTCTCTGGATCATTACCGGCCTCTCTCCAGGGCATCCAGGTGTTTTTGGGGGGATCCCGGGGCTGTGCCTGCGCCCCATCCTCAGATCACCCATAAATGGGTCGGAGTTTCGGGGGTGGTTTAAATGCTCAGAGGTCTTTGATGTATAGAATAAGTGGGAAATTTGGTTTGGCAGACCCATAGATGAGGTTTTTACAAAAAAAAAAAAAAAAAAGGAGATTTTTGGTGAACTTAATTACCCCAGCGCTGCATCCAGCCCATGGTTTGTGTCTAACGAGCTCCCAGGCGCTGTGTCCTCGGCACATGTGGCATGTTTGGCTCCTCTCTGGCTCTGTCTGCTCTCCCAGAGCCCTGGGCTCACCCCCAGATGCTGACTGGGGCAAAACCCATTCGTTTGGGAGAAAAAAACTCCCTTCTGGGGACCATCTCGTGGTTTGGAGGTGCAGAAGGTTCCCCAGCATAGGAAATCCAAAACTGTGTGTAATGTGTCCAACCCACACAGCCACGGCCTCAGAGCTGAACTTGCCAGGGAAAATTTGAAAATAATTCGGGATTTTTCAAGGGAGCAATTCAGCAAAGCTCCTCATCATATCCTGGATGTGGGAGAGACTGTGTGGGTTAAAAATGGAGCAATAAATAGCAAAGGTGGTGGGGATGGGAGCATTGTGCAGCCTTCACACCCCAGTTCCCTGTGCCACCCCAGATTAATCCATCTGCCCCCCAGGTCATGCTGGACAAATCCCAGCTCAGCAACATCCTGCTTTTATTGCAATATATGATTTTCTCTGCAATAAAGTCCCACCCCTGGACCTGTTTCCCATCTGTGATTATATCCTTGTTCCCCGGGCACAAAGGTTGGCCCGTGCCCTCGGTGGCGTGGGCAGAAGGGATAATGGCATTTTTTAACACCAGGATCTCGGTTTTGGGGAGAAGGGAGGAATACTGGAAGGAAAATGCCCATTTTCCACAACTTTTCCCATCAGACAAGGGGAAGCCACCTTTAATTCCCCATTCCCATTCCCAACAGCCGCTCTCAGGACCCAATGTTGAATTTTCCCATTAAATTTGTGTCCCCGAAGCATTTCCCCATCAAACAAAAAATCCCACAAATAAATACTAATCACAATTAGTTATTCAGCGTGAACGGGGGCCTGTGCTAGAGAGTGGGGAGGTTTTCCTTAGTTATTTTGGGATTATTTGGGGGAACAGGGAGGGATGCTCATGCTGCTTGGCCCTGGCAGCCCATGGGAAAACACGGCAGATCCGCATTTATAATTTTTTTTTCCGTTTTGTTTCATTTTCCTTTTTATTCGGACATTGCAGAAATAGCCCTGTGTAGTGGATAAAAGTGCAACATACACAATATTTAAGAAAAGGAGGAAAGAAAAACCTGCCTTGAGGTCTGTCAGTCAATCGCAAACAGAAACAAGAACCAAGCCCGGGCGCCAGAGGCGCTTTTTGTCCCCCCTCCCCCGCTTTTTTTTTTTTTCCCCTTTTGTTTTTATGCACGTCATGCAAAATAGTTAAAAAGAAAGATTAGAAAAGAGAAGTCAGAGAAAACCCCACGAGAGATCGACCGAGCCCTGGGAAGAGCAGAGAGCTCCGAGTGCTGCTCGTCTCGGGGAGGGAATCGCTGCCCTCCAGCATCTCCAAGTGTTTGGCACTCTTGTGATTACATTAAATAATTTCTTTTATATATATGTTTTAATACAGTCTATTAAAGAGAGGAAACTGCCACAATATAAGGAAAAAAAAACCAAGATCACCCACACTACAGACTGCATGGTAGTTAGAAAAGCTGAGCGTCCCCCCACCCCCCCGTACATATAAAATCTGTCCCTTTGCTCACAGCAACCAAGAAGTACAAGCTTTAAAAAATAAACCAGCAATTCTTCCTTCTTGCCTTTCCTTTATAAAAGTTTTGGTTTTCCCCCTCAAGAACCTTAAAACGTGACTAAAATTAAATATATATATATATATATCTATTTTATATAATTTCCCAACATCCAAAGACATCAACATAAAATAAAAAAAAAAAAAAAAGAAACTCATACAGAAGGGGATAGCGTGGTACATCCAAGTGCACGGATTCATTTTTGCAAGATTAAATCATGTAAACAAGGTGCCCGCTGGGAACAACCCTGGCCGGAGGGAGACTCCAGGGGCTGTTCCCCCCCAAGTCCCCCCATCTCCCGCTGCCCCCTTTCCTCTTACCCCCCGATCTATTGCGGCACAAGGTTCAGCAGCCCGAGAAAACAGCCCGAGGAGCTCAGAGCCGCGCCGTGACTCCTCCGTCCGTCCCTCGGGGTGGGGAGGTTTGAAGCAGGTGACTATTTTCCCGATTACACAGAGATATTTTATTTTCTAGCATTTTTGACTCGGTGGCCGGGCTCGGGCTCGCTCGCCGCCCTCCCCTCCGCGCGTGTCCGCGGGGCAGGAGGAGCCGCGGGGCGCGGGCGGCGTTCCCGGTGCTCGCTGCGGTCTTGGGGTTATTTTCTGCCGATCACCTGTGCCATTGTAAACCGACCCCACCCCGGGCCTCGGCCCAGCGTCCCCAGGGAGGCTTTAAACACCGGGAGGGGCCTTTTCGGAGAGGTTTTGCAGCACATCATCAATTCTATCATCTTCAATAACCACTAGAAAGCAGAAAGAAACAGAAGCGCGATGAATTCGCTGCCGCCGCGCTCCCCCCCGCCCAAGGTCACCCTCGGGGTGGTTGGAGGGGTCCCACATCCCTGGGGTGGCAGCTGGCAAAGGGACACGGCGCCCGACACGCCGCAGGGTACCTGGTGTCCCCAAGGAGCGTCCCCAGTATCGCCCCGACACTGGTGCCCCGTCCCTGGGGACGCTTGGCAAAGGACGTGTCCCCAAGGAAGGTCCCCTCGCCTCTGTGCCCTGCAGATGGTCCCCAGGGAATGTCCCCTGTCCCTAAGGAAGGTCCTTGTGCCCTGCAGATGGTCCCCAGGGAATGCCCCCTGTCCCTAAGGAAGGTCCCCGCTGCCCTATACCCCGCGAAGTACCCAGGGCACAATGTCCTGTCCCCAGGGAAGGTCCCGGCCACCCAACACCCGTTGACAGTCCTTGGGACGTGATGCCGACATCCTGCAGGGAGTCCGGTGCATCGTGCCACGTCCCGGGGGACGCTTCCCGGTGCCCTGCATCCCCGAAAGGTGCTTGACGCCCCATCCGTGAGGAAGATCCACGGAACACGACGCCCGACATCCCTCAGGGAGCCCGGTGCCCCATACCCTGTCCCTGGGGTGCCCCGCATCCCTGGAGAAGGTGCTCGGGACGCGATGCCCGACACCCTCAGGGAGCCCGGTCACCATGCCCCGTCCCTGAGGATGGTTCCCGGTGTCCCGCATCCCCGGGGAAGGTCCGCGATACACGATGCCCAACACCCCGCGGGATACCCGCCGCATCCCCGGGGCCGTGTCCCGCATCCCGGGCAGCTCCCGGGCAGCTCCCGGTCCCTCCGGCACCCACCTCTCTTGCTGCGGCCGATCTGCCCCAGCTTGGGCGGCCTCTTGCCCTGCCCGCCGGCCAGGAGCCCGTCGCCGCCGCGGAGGCGAACGGGGAAGGGCAGCTGCCCCACGGCCGCGTCCCCCGCCAGCTGCCCCTCGCCGTAGGGCGGCCCCTCCGACATGGGGGCGGCGGGGGGGGACCCGCCGCCGCCGCCGCCCCCCGACAGCCTCCCGGGGCGCGGGGCCCGCGGGCCCGGGGCAGCGGCGCAGCGGGCGCGGGGCGGCCGCCCCGTCACATCCCGGCGCGGCCGGCGCTGCTCGCGGCTCCGCGGCTGCGGCGGCGGCTCCGGCGGCGGCGGCGATAGAGGAGCGGGAGGCGGGACCGGGCGGGGCGGGGCGGGACCGGCTCGGCCCCCGGCACCGGCGGCGGCACCGCCCCGCGGGCTGAGCCCGCACCCCCGGGGATCCCCGGGACTGCCCCGCCGCCTGCCCCGCAGCGTCCCCGGGGAGCGCGGAGCATCCTCAAGGAGCCCCGGCCTGCCCCCTCGGCTCCCCGCGGAGCACGGAGCTGCCCCGGAGCATCCCCGGAGATCCCAGAGCTGCCTAGCAGAAACCCTGCGGGGCCCGGAGCTGCCCCGGAGCATCCCCGGGGTGTCCCGCAGCATCCCCGGAGATCCCGGAGCTGCCTAGCAGACACCCTGCGGGGCCCGGAGCTGCCCCGCTTCATCCTCAGGATTCCCCAGCCTGCCCCTCAGCATCCCTGGGGAGTCCGGAGCTGCTCTGTAATGGCCCTCGGAGAGCTTAGGCGGCCCCACAGCACTTTTGGGGAGCCCAGAGCTGCCCCACAGCCGCATCGGGGGAGCCTAGACTACCCCACAGACACGTTTAGGGAGCTCAGAGTAGGGCACTCCTGGAAAGCCTGGAACTAACCCCTCCACAGCCCTGGGCAGCCCAGTGCCAGCTCGCGGGAAGCCTGGGCACAGCCCCAGTGCCAGCTCCCAGGAAGCCTGGGCACGGCCCCAGTGCCCTGCACACCCAACAGAAATGAGCCATGGGGGGCTCTGGCACTCTGTGGGGGCTGCAGCGTGGGGGGACTGGGTGTGCTTGGCTTGGGCCCCCAGGACCCGTCCCTGCAGGAGCCTTTGGGGCACTGCAGGAGCACTTCTGAGCCACTGGGAGCTTTCCATGGGGTTTTCTACGCTGTCACTGCAACAGTGCGAGTCACTGGGGCTACTGCCTGGCAAAGTGAGTGATGGCAAGGTTGGGGATAACATTTTGAGACAGACCACAACTATGTCGGGGTGTTCAGGCATCTGTGGTGCATCTCCCACAAAGCAGAGCAGGAGGACAGCAGCAACAGCAGCAAAGAACCTGCAAGGCTGAGTTACCGGATTTCCCTGGAATCCAGAGCCTGGCTCATTTTGGGGCCAAGCAGAAAGGAAGGACGGGGTGCCTGGTGGTACCAGGGCTGGGGTGCACTGTCCTGGGGCTGCTCCCATCTCCAAAGCCCTCGTTTGCTGAAATCCTCGGCCCCCAGAGCTGCACAAGCCCCTCTCCCCTGCACTCCCGCCGCCCCCGAGCTCTCAGCTCCTTACATAAGGTTGCGGCTCCGCCCGAGGTATCGCAGGGAAAGCTCGGGAACAGGAGGCGAGGGGTGCCGGGGAAGCACAGCCCCTCCAAGGTGTATTTTTAGGCTTTGCCTGATGCTCATTCCTGGGCAAAACACCGACGCTAGAGGCTGTGTCCTGCACTGCTCTGAGGGGTCTGACCTCCCCGCTGCTCCCAGCGAGGGGTGAGGCTTTTTGGGGTGGTGATTCTCCTGAAGAGGGGGGACACCTCTTCCAACAGGTGGGATTCTGGCGTTTCAATCTGTCTGCTGGGTTTTGGGGCTGCGGTGTGGCTTTTTGAGCTGTGTTTCAGCTGTTCCCTCTGGGATGGGTTTGCGGCTGCCTCGCCCTGCAGGCAGCCACCGCCATCTACAGCTGGTGGGACGCGGCCCTTTCCCGGCACTGGAATAACCAGGGACCTGCTGCTCCTCAAAACCAGCCGTGGGTTTGTGACTCACAGCCAGGATGGCCTTCGGACACTGCCCGGCTGCTCTGGTTAATGTTTAATGAGGAAACAACCCATCATTTTCACTGTAAATTCAGGGGTTTTTCAATGCCAGCGGGTGGGAATGTTTCTTTTTCAATGTGCCCGGGGGATTTGGATGGCTCTGCCTGGAGCAGGGGTGCCCAGGGGCTGCCTCAGCCCTGGGGCTTTCAGCTGCTCTTACTTGAGGCTCCTTCATTCCCCAGGAATGTTTCTCTAATTGTCCTCCGAAGGAAATGTTAATTGCAGCAGCACTTTGGGTCCATTAACCCTCTTGGGTCCATATGGGATTTATGGCAAAATAGGAATGTGAGGGAAAGGAATTTTCCTTTTTTGTGTCAGTTTGGGGGTTTGGCACCAGCTGTGTCATGAGGGGACAGCAGTGACTGTCATGTCCAGTGCAGGGGGGACAGGTTCCCCCCCTCAGCCAACCTCCATCGTGGCTCAGGATGATCCAGGCTCACCATGTCCACCTCAGGGAGGACAAACCTCACCACTCTCATGGAAATAATCCAACACAGACACACTTTTCATCCTATTTTATTACTTCACACCCCATTTGCTATCCCAAGCCAAGCCAAGCCAAGCCCAGCCATCAGCCACAGCACTCTCACATCCCCATCCTCACATCCTGGTGTGACAAAGCCATTTGGGGGGCTCACAGAATTACCTGTGCTCACACCCCCTGGTACGAGCTCTCCGACAGCCCCTCCTGCTTCGTTAGGCCTTGCAGCCCTCTGGAAGCCTCACGGGAATTCTGCAGCCTCCCAGAACCCTAAATACATTTTATTTCTGTTTTCCCCATGTTTTAATCAGCTGGGTAAGGGGCTGCAGGCTCTGTAACCATGACACAAACCCTGCGAGTCCAAACCTTAACATAAGAGCTTCAAGCTGCATCTTGCCCCGAGCACCTCACCCATTGCAAGAATCATCTCTCCAAATCACCCCCAGATTATAGTGTGAGCTCTGATAAGCTGCAGCCACCTTTGCAGACTCAGCTCTGTCCCCCTGTGAAGTACCCACTCCCTCAAGCTCCCTCCCCTTCCCCAAAACCCACCACCCAAGCAGTGAGGCGACAAAACCCCTTTGCCAGCAGCAGGTTTAAATCCAAAGTCTCCCCCGGAGAACCACAAAAAATTAACTGTTGTACAAGGGAACCACCCTGGTGATGCCCTGCCTGCAGATTGGGCACTTTTTGGGCTTGGGAAGAGCCAGGTAGCACTCGTGGCAGGAGCAGATGTGGCCACACTCCAGGAAAACGCAGGATTTGGTGTTGCTCAAGCAGACCACGCAGGCGTTCTTGAGGGTCTCCCCCCCCTCGGTGTTCATCAGGCGCTCCTGGGCCTGCCGGAACTCCTCCTGCATCTGCCGCAGGCGCTGCCGCTCCCGGAGCTGCCGGTACTGCTTCCGCAGCAGGAAGAACAGCACGGCGCAGGTGGCGAAGCCCGAAACGACCGTCAGGATCTTCCAAAAGCGCACGCCGGACTCTTGTTTGTGCAGCAAGGACTCGAAATCCAGGGAGCTCAGGTAGTAGGGCATGCCCTGCTTTGGGGGCTGCAGCTTGATGGTGGCGTTGTCCAGGACCAGCTCTCCCATGCCCGTCAGGGCCGTGCCCACCTTCAGCATCTGCTCCGTCTCCTGGATGCCCTTGGAGCGCTCCCCGCTGATGTAGTGGCCGAGGACGTCGGTGAAGGACTGCACAGACGGGTGGAATTTCTCGTACACCGTCTCCAGGCTGAGCTCGGACGCCTCCAGGGGCTTCATCACCCGGACGGTGACGCCACCGCCATCCTCGGTGGGGACCAGGTCAAAGGGGGTGGTGTTGGTTCTCTGGTGGATGATCTTCTCGTAGTCGTTCCTGGGGAGGGAGCAGGGGGGAGTGAATGACTGCCCCTGACGGGAAACACTGCCTGGGATCACCTGCCAGATGGGACATGCCCTGAGTGGAGCTTCTTTGATGGGGGTCTCTGGAGAACACCTTTTCCCTCGTGGCACTGTCCAGGTGTGCACGAGGCCATGCCACCCCCATCTCAGTGCTCCCCCATCCCCACCTACTTCTTCCTGACCTGCCTGTGGCATTCCCAGCTGTCAAAAACCATCCTGTGAGGAGAAGCACCACGTGTCACACATCCCAGTTTGGTAAGTGTTAGCAAATGCTTATCAAACTGCATCACTGGGCTCTGCTTCAGCAGCCCTGTGACCCCTGGGTGCAGGGATTGCCCAAATCCAATTAATCTCTGTTCTGCAAGTCGGTATTTTTTGGAAACGTCATCCTCTGGTAGGGGGCTGATCAGTGTTCAGCCTGTGGTGGATTACTCGATGTGCTCTTCTCCTCCAGCCCCTCTAAAATCAGGCAAATCCAGCTCTAAAATCAGCCAAACCCCCATTATGGCAGCTGTCACTGTGGGGGCTACTCTGAGACCCAGCTTTGAGGCACATGGTCCCTCTGGCCCTGTCTGAGGCCATTTCAGGGTGACAGACCCCCCAAGGGCAGCACAGGCACATACCAGAGGTGGGTGGTTCTGTTCCACACCATCTTGTGCTCCCGCAGTGTCAGCCTCTGAACCACGCCCTTGCAGTTCTCCACAAACTGACTGCTCAGGGTGTCCTTCACCGACCGCACCACACCTGCAACGGAGCCCAAGGCCAGGTGAGGGCTGACTGAACAAACCCTGGGCGAGGGCTGGGAGGGACAGGACCATGGGGAGTGGCATCAATGGGCTGCTAGGGAGAAATCCTTTCCTTCCTGTGAGGCTGGGCAGGCCCTGGATCCCTGGCACTGTCCAAGGCCAGGTTAAACGGGGCTGGGAGCAGCCTGGCACAGTGGAAAGCGTGGCTGTCCATGGCAGGGGGTGGCACTGGATGAGCTTTAAGGTCTCTTTCAACCCTTAAGGCCTCTTTCATTCTAGAATTCTAAGATGGAGACAAAAGGGATGAGAGCCCATATTTTCTGCCGTCAGGAGTCTGTGGCTGCTTGGCAGGGGGAGATGACCTGATGGGCACAGGAAGAGGAGCTGGGGATGAAATCCCCCGGTGAGGAGCAGCTGTGGGGCATGATGTGCCCCCTCCCCCTCCATTTGGGGCACTGCTTTGGGTCGTGTTTGAAAGAAATGTGGGATTTGTCTTTACAAACAAACTGTGGGTCTGCTGGTAGATAAAACTAGATAGTGAGAGATAAAAGAATAGGAAGAACCATAAATGCCACAGGAATTCCACTGACTGACCCAAGTGAAAGGAAAGTGG